GCACTAACCATATCCACCAGTCTCACGCTAGGATAACTGATGCTATCTACCTCTAAAAGTTTATGTGAGTGCCACTGTAGCAATAACATTTCACACAGTTTGTGAGAAAACTGATAATAAATTATACATTAACTCAGGCCCTGGGGAGTCAGCATAGCTAAACGGACAAGGGCACATGTATGAGTGTGGGGATGGTGCTAGTGATTGGCTATATGTGTTTAGGGGAGTGGCTGTGTTTAGGGGAGTGGTTATGGGTTTGTAGTGGGGCAGGGATCATCTTACCTCAGTGCCTTTTGGGATTCTGGCCAGCAAACAACTTCCCACCCACCCACCCTAATTTTCTGTTTTTGTTCCGTCACAGCTAGCGGGGAGCGTGTCCTTGCCAACAGGGTTGGGGAGCAGATGGAATGTCAGGAGATGGACATGGTGGGTCTCAACCTCCCCTGCTCTGTAAGGTAAACTTTTAAGTTACCGAATAGGACGTGCCCACCGAGCAAAAAGCCGGCTGGTGGTAGAGCATTTAAGATGATGGGAATTTGGTTTGGACGAGGGGGGAGGCGAGACACCAGTGGGTAAAGTTTTGGTGCATAGGCACCTGGTTAAGTTCGTTGGCAAGGACGGTTATTTAAGTTGGAGGCTGTAGGGCAATAAGTGTAATTTATATGTTAATTATGGTATGTATATATATATATCTGTTTATTTATATTTGAATTAAAGAAAAAGAATAAAGTTCGGATGAGCCCTACAGTTGTAAGTTTAATAAATGCTGTGGCCTGTTCCATCCAATATTCGTTGTTTGTCATTATTGGGGGGAGAATTGGGGTAGTCTCCTTACTCTTAGTCGCACCACATTCCCCGCTACGTACATATATGTGCATCAAGTCGGCTAGGCAGAGTTCCAGCTTGCACAAATTAATACACCCAGCAGATAATTGTAGGTCTTAAAACATAAATTTACAACACATCAATTCCATTAAATTATCTTCTTTAAAATTGCATAGTAGCAGAAGAGGGGAAACATTACCAGCTTGGCACATTGTGTGCTTAAAGGGAGACTATAGTCACCAGAACAACTACAGCTTATTGTATTTGTTCTGGTGAGTAGAATCATTACCTTCAGGCTTTTTGCTGTAAACACTGTCTTTTCAGAGAAAATGCAGTGTTTACAATACAGCCTAGTGATAACTCCACTGGCCACCACAAGAGATGGTTGCTAGAGGTGCTTCATGGGACAGTGCTGCACACTGTGCAGTACTGCCATTCAATGTATCCACCCTCTGCATGCAGACACTGAACTTTCCCTTATAGAGATTCATTGATTCAATGTATCTCTATGAGGGGATGCTGATTGGCCACGGCTGTGTTTGAATTGTGATGACTCTGCCCCTGATCTGCCTCTTGACAGTCTCAGCCAATCCTAAGGGAAAGCATAGTGATTGACACTGTATGAATTTCTGACTGAATGTGTCTGTGTCCTTGGCATTGTGTACATGTGTATGTGCCTGAGCATATTTGTGTGTGCCAGTGTCTGAGAGCATATGTGTCTGGGATTTTCTTGCATTGTGTGTAATGGGGGCTGCTTGTGGTCTTTGCGTCTTGTGTTTATGGTGAGACTGTGTTTCATGTGTGTGACGTGACTGTGTATGGTGATGACTATCTTCGCATGGTCTGTAGCAGTGTGAGGGGGGGTTATGTGTGATTGGTTGAAGGGTGTGAGTGTAGAAGGTTGTGGAGGGTGAGTGGACCTGGGTGAGGAAGGTGAGTGTGAAAGAGTTGGGGGTTAAGTGTAATAGGGTGAGAGGGATACCTTAAAGGGGTGAGTGTGAGAGTTGGAGGGGGTGCATGAGTTTAACAGAGTTTGGAGGGTTAGTGTGGCAGGGTGGTATATTTGACAAGTTTGAGGGGTGAGTGTGGAGCTGCCTTATTCACCTTATGGGTGATATGGCTCTGTATAGGTATACACACATATCTTGATAAAGACCGCTTGAAGGTCGAAACATTGATTTGTTTGCTGACAATTTAAGATAAGTTTTATTTAAATCCAGTGAGTGCTCTCATTTTTTCGGTTTTGTATATGTGCACAGAGAAGAACCCTGGTCAAATTTCGTATTAATTAGAATTTTTGGGGGGAAGAGTGCCAGAGATTTGGGATTTTTATATATATATATATATATATATATATATATATAACGAGAAATCACTTATACTAAGCAAATTATTATTTTAATTAAAAGTTTTCATGCTTTTAGGCACACGCACTCACATTGATTCATACATGCACTCATCGACACACACTCTCATTGGCAGACGCACACAATGACATACACTTTCAGTGATGCTGAAACGCAAACACTGACAGACACACTCAAATACAGACTGACACACACACACTGCCAGATACAGACACACATATGTTCACATACATACACACAAACTGAGATGGACAAACACTGCTATAAACAATACATTACCTAGTTCGGCTTTTTCTACGATGCTCCCCTACCCTAAAATCCGTCTGCTGGGATATGATGTCACAGATCCCAGCATCCTTTCATCTTTTCTCCAATTTCTAGTGAGTTGAGGGCAAACTGTTCCCTCGCCTCGCTGTTTTTCGTGCCCTGCATCAGCCAGCCCCAAGTAAGAGCAACTCACTTGTAAAAACTCCCGGTTACCCAGTGGGACAGTATGGCCCTTCATTGACCTCCCATGGTATGTGGAACACCCAAGACCTTTGTTATTACCACTCCTATGTTTTTTATTGCAAAACTGCATCACGTTGTGTATAGTGGCTGCTGATAGTTAAAGAAGAAGTTAAGAGATGTATAGATTGTATTCCATTGGAGAGTTACCAAAACATAAAATGCAGATGGTGAAGAAAGAAATTCAAGAAAGAAAATAAATGAGAATATGAAGTTGATGTAGTTACCAAAAGTTTAATAAACTCTAGTGCATAAAAAATAATGCAAAAATATTTACCTTTAAAGGTTCCTAAATTTACTACATTTGTAATTAAAAGTTGTTATGGTACTTTTGACAGCACGCATTATAGTCCCGCAGATATAGTTTCAATTACTAAATACAACAAGCTTAAATATTTTTTTATTACCTGTTCTTGTTTCCATTTGTGTTTCTGAAAATATATTATATTCGTATTCATAGTATTCAGAAATATCATCAGGTGAATCAGCATATGCTTCTGCCTCTAATGTAACGTCATAATAATCACAAGACATTCCTTCATAAAAGGTATAAAGCATAAAAAAAATTGATTACATAAATGTAACAACAAATGTACAAAAACAGCAACCAAACTTGCAGAATACTAAGCTGCATAAAACCTCAAGTAAGGTAAAAAGCCTTAAGTGTTGGGGTAGGCAACCTTCAGCACTTCAGATGCTGTTACTGCCACAATGCTGGCAACACATTAGGGTAGCTGTAATTCACAATGCATAATGTTAAAGGGGCACTCCAAAGCCCAAATACAAAATAAATCAAAATCACTGTTTAGCGGATATACCCCCAATTAAAACTTACATTTAATTATTTTTTCATTTGTACATATATCTAAAATCAGCATGTAAAAGCTGCAGATCTCTTATCTGCAGCCTTTGCAAGCCCTCCCCTTCTAACCCCACCCAGACTTTCTGTGGCTGTCCAATCGCAGACTTCCCAATGCAGCACTATGAGAAGTCTTAGTAAGGCAGGCGCTCTGGGCAATAGCTGGCTTTAGAGGTCAGTGCAAGTAAGCTAATGGAGCCAGGAAGTAACAGGACTTGTCTGCTTGAAAAGTCAAAGGAGTATAACCAGTATAATTGATAAAAGTGCCAATTTCGATTGAAATCTACACTTTTTGCTAAATGAAAAAAATAAATTAAAAAAAGAGGACACACTCTTCACACAGAGTGTCTGTAGTGTCCCTTTAACTTACATAGTGCATCTGAGTACAGATGCACAACACATTGTATTTGTTTATTAATTTTTTTTTTGTGAATTGCTATGTGAATCAACAAAGGCCTTGATTTAATATTTTGGATACATTTTATTAATGAATTACTATATTTGGATATTTTTTTAAAATATTTTGTAAAATTAACACATATATCACATATAAAAACATATACAGGGAGTGCAGAATTATTAGGCAAATGAGTATTTTGACCACATCATCCTCTTTATGCATGTTGTCTTACTCCAAGCTGTATAGGCTCGAAAGCCTACTACCAATTAAGCATATTAGGTGATGTGCATCTCTGTAATGAGAAGGGGTGTGGTCTAATGACATCAACACCCTATATCAGGTGTGCATAATTATTAGGCAACTTCCTTTCCTTTGGCAAAATGGGTCAAAAGAAGGACTTGACAGGCTCAGAAAAGTCAAAAATAGTGAGATATCTTGCAGAGGGATGCAGCACTCTTAAAATTGCAAAGCTTCTGAAGCGTGATCATCGAACAATCAAGCGTTTCATTCAAAATAGTCAACAGGGTCGCAAGAAGCGTGTGGAAAAACCAAGGCGCAAAATAACTGCCCATGAACTGAGAAAAGTCAAGCGTGCAGCTGCCACGATGCCACTTGCCACCAGTTTGGCCATATTTCAGAGCTGCAACATCACTGGAGTGCCCAAAAGCACAAGGTGTGCAATACTCAGAGACATGGCCAAGGTAAGAAAGGCTGAAAGACGACCACCACTGAACAAGACACACAAGCTGAAACGTCAAGACTGGGCCAAGAAATATCTCAAGACTGATTTTTCTAAGGTTTTATGGACTGATGAAATGAGAGTGAGTCTTGATGGGCCAGATGGATGGGCCCGTGGCTGGATTGGTAAAGGGCAGAGAGCTCCAGTCCGACTCAGACGCCAGCAAGGTGGAGGTGGAGTACTGGTTTGGGCTGGTATCATCAAAGATGAGCTTGTGGGGCCTTTTCGGGTTGAGGATGGAGTCAAGCTCAACTCCCAGTCCTACTGCCAGTTCCTGGAAGACACCTTCTTCAAGCAGTGGTACAGGAAGAAGTCTGCATCCTTCAAGAAAAACATGATTTTCATGCAGGACAATGCTCCATCACACGCGTCCAAGTACTCCACAGCGTGGCTGGCAAGAAAGGGTATAAAAGAAGAAAATCTAATGACATGGCCTCCTTGTTCACCTGATCTGAACCCCATTGAGAACCTGTGGTCCATCATCAAATGTGAGATTTACAAGGAGGGAAAACAGTACACCTCTCTGAACAGTGTCTGGGAGGCTGTGGTTGCTGCTGCACGCAATGTTGATGGTGAACAGATCAAAACACTGACAGAATCCACGGATGGCAGGCTTTTGAGTGTCCTTGCAAAGAAAGGTGGCTATATTGGTCACTGATTTGTTTTTGTTTTGTTTTTGAATGTCAGAAATGTATATTTGTGAATGTTGAGATGTTATATTGGTTTCACTGGTAATAATAAATAATTGAAATGGGTATATATTTGTTTTTTGTTAAGTTGCCTAATAATTATGCACAGTAATAGTCACCTGCACACACAGATATCCCCCTAACATAGCTATAACTAAAAACAAACTAAAAACTACTTCCAAAAATATTCAGCTTTGATATTAATGAGTTTTTTGGGTTCATTGAGAACATGGTTGTTGTTTAATAATAAAATTAATCCTCAAAAATACAACTTGCCTAATAATTCTGCACTCCCTGTAAATATAGCAAACACATCACAATGCTAAAACATTACAATTTTTTTTTAAATATTAACTCATTTTAAACCGTTTTCCAAAAACATTGTATAATAATATTATCCCCTTAAGGACTGGACTGTTTTTGCGATGTTGTACATTTGCGACCAGGCCTCTTTTGTGTTTAGCTGTAATTTTCCGCTCTCTCATTTACTGTTCCCATACAAATTATATATTGTTTTTTTCAGGACAAAAGGGGCTTTCTTTACATACCATTATTTATATAATCTCATGTATTTTAATAAAAAAAAATGAAAAAATATGATGAAAAATTGAAAAAATACATGTTTTTTTACTTTTACTTGAAAAATCTTTTACTCATCTACAAAAGCGAATGAAAAAAACTGCTAAATAGATTCAAAATTTTGCCCTGAGTTTAAAAATACCCAGTGTTTACATGCTTTTTTGCTTTTTTTTTTTTTTTGCATGTTATAGGGCTATAGGTACCAGTAGGATGTGGCGGTTTCAAAACAAACATTTTTAAAATGTATCAATAGTGACATTGTAACACTATTATCTGTCATAAATCTCTGAATAATACCCCACATGTATATATTTTTTTTAAAGTAGACAACCCAGGGTATTCATCCAAGGATATTTTGACACTTTCTATGCAGCCATTTTACCACAAGTCTTTGCCAAACTTTGCATAGGAAGTTGTTTTTTTCTTTTCACATACATTGCAATTCAGGTATAAACTTACAGATCCTGTTATGTCTTGCTGCCAAAAAACACACTAATATGTGTTCAGCAACATCTCCTGAGTACAGTGATACCACCCATGCATAGGCTTGTTGAGTTGTTTGGCAGCTAAAAGGCCACATTTGGCAGGTGCGCATATCCATTTTCCAACTTGGAATTTTGACATGTAGTAAACCAGCGCCCCTGTCCTATTTGGGCCAATGTATTTTACCCCCATCAAACCATATATTTTTGAAAAGTAGACAACTCAGGGTATTTTAAATGGTGGTAGTTTAATACTTTTCATGCAATAATGCTACCACCAGCCTTTGGCAAACTTTTGGGTAGTAATTTTCTTCGTGTTTTTTTACACATACATTGTACTTTAGGCATGAATTAACAGATCCTGTTATGTATCACTGCCAAACAACACCCCAATATGTGTTCAGCAACAACTCCTGAGTACAGTGATATCACCCATGCATAGGTTTGCTGGGTTGTTTGGGGGCTAAAAGGCCACAATCGAGACTTGTACATATCAGTTTTTCAACTTGATATATAGGTATGCTTGGCCTATTTCAGTTTGGCATATTTTCGTATCCCCTCGTTAATGTTAACATCATGAAAGTTTATATTTTTATAAAGTAGACATTCCAGGGTATTGTATATGAGGTGTTTTCACATCCTTCTCCCAACCATTGTGCTAAACAAATTTCAGAGAAAGTGCATGGTGGTAATTTTTGAATTCTGCTTTTTATGCACACGTCATCTGGTTTTGGCCAGCCAGTTATATGTTACTACCATAAAACTTTTTTAACCAAATGTGCAGGTATCAAATGCACCTTTAGCAGCATTCTCTAAACTAACTCCTGCAAAAAGAATCTAATTGGAGATTTGGGGGGAAGGAAACGGACTAACTAAAATTTGCTGCTTTCAAAAGAAAAAAAAAAGTGCAAAGGGGTGTCTGTCCTTTTCCCTTTTTTATAACAGACCCAGCAACATTTCAGGGGATTAGTTTTTTTTTGCAGTTGGCGGTATCTTAAAAATAAACAGACTAAAACAGACTAAAACAGTAATCCCTAAACTAATTCCTGTTAGAAAAATCTAATGGAGATTTGTGGGAAGGAAACTGACTGACTACGACAGACTACGACAGACTAAGACAGACTAAGACAGTCTAAGACAGTCTAAGACACAGATTTTTAAAAATAAAGTTAACCCTTAAGGGCAAAAAAGAGATCTGGCAGGGAATGGGGTTAAAATAGGATTTTTATTCACTGCAGATACTTTTTAATACTTTCTGGAACAGCTGCTGCAACAAACTATCATGATCTCTGTCTCTCTCCTCTCACAAAATGCTACAGAGGGGAGAGAGGCAGAGATCACTGTCAAAGTGAGTGTTTGTAACACCCACTTTGACACCAGCCAATTGTGAGCGATCGCGGATTGCTCACATGCCGCAATTGGCTGTTACTATCTGCGTGGGATGCCGGGCAGATAGTAACAACGGGATTTCGGCGGAAGTGATCTCCGATCGCTCCCGCCGCCCGTTTTCCGTTAGGACGGTTCAGGACCGTCCTCGGTCGGCAACGCAAAAATGCAGAGGACGGTCCTGAACCGTCCTGCATCCTGAAGGGGTTAAATAATATTGTATAATGATAATATAATCAGAATAGCTGACTGTCAACAAAGTAATTATGAATATTGTTATTTGATACTGGAAATACCAAACACAGTATGTAACTCAATGAGCTTAGTAAACATGGTTCCACTGCAACAAACAAGCACGTAGCTTCGTTTCTAAATAACAGGTTTTTTTTATCATATCAAATTATAAAGTATATCAGTAAAACTGTAAAAAGCTTTCTCTCCCCGCACCCTGATTCCTCTCCTGAAACTGTCATCAAAATAAAACACTAAGCCCTCAATGAACGCTATCCTAGCAACCTACTTCTACCCTACTGTGAAGGAATATCCCTATCACTTTCAGCTCCTTTAGTTTATTTTGTTCGGGTCCCGAACCGAGACCACCACGGAAACCAATTAGAACATGGAACGTTAAGTATCTGTACGAAAACTGCAAAGGAAATCATTAATAGAATGCTCCACTGAGTGGCTGCCATTTCGTACATTCGAACGCATGTGGCTGAAACAATGGATAGTGGCCATCTTGTCTCCCGAACGCTGGCAGCTGGACTTGGTCGTCAAGGGCCTGGAACTAGTTTTGGCCAGCGCACTCGTGCGAACACCAGTCACCATGGATCTACGGCCTGTTCCAGTTCCAGTTTACCTATACGAATGGCGTTCGGGAGTTACAGACTACCGAACATGGGGAGCACTATACACGAACCAGTTTCCCTCTATCTTATGTGGTTTTCATACAAAACCCCATGAACGGATCTGGGTCGCGGTGCCTTAGCTGTTTGTACGGCCGAAAGTGAAGTGGACAGGGAATTAAGGGAACAGTTAGCACTGTGTGCCTTTAGCTGGGCATTTGGGAATTCAGCTGACATCATACCGGGTAACCCAGAACAATTTTTGGCCTAGAGTATCTAATGATGTCCGACGATATTGCCAAACTTGCGAAGTGTGCCAACGGGTGGGTAAGAAGGGAGACCACCCTAAAGCTAAAATGGTCCCTGTGCCCATAATCGAAGAACCCTTTAAGCGAGTAACAGTGGACCTGATAGGACCCCTGGCCCAACGAGTCACTCTGGTAAATGCTATATCCTTATCGTAGTAGACTATGCCACCCGATACCCAGAGGCCATGGCTGTATCTAACTGATAATTGAGCTGAGACAATGGCGGATGCCCTGGTCAAGATAGGGGGAAGGGTCATAGCAATCTACAAAATGGAGATAGGACAGAAAGGAGATGGGCTTTAGCACAGTATGAGGGGGTGGAGACGGGGGAAGGGGCAAGCTCAGAACAGAGAAGCTGTGTAATGTTGAAAATTCACAAAATATACAAGTGACGCATAATATTAAATGTATGTTTACTAATGCAAGGAGCCTAAATAACAAAATGGGGGAACTAGAGGCATTAGCATACACTAAACAATATGATATAATAGGCATAACTGAAACATGGTGGGATGAGACACATGACTGGGCAGCTAACTTAAATGGGTACACGTTATTTAGGAAGGATAGGAAAAACAAGAAGGGTCCATCTAACTTTTGAACCACTGGACCAAATTGTATGATTTTTGGATATGTTTGTATACTGATTTTGCTGCTTCGGAATATGTAACTGTTATGGAAATTGCATGTATGGTTTGGAAGTTATGAATATTGTGTAAAACTGTATATTTTCCCACCTGTGATGATTAAGTTAGCCCATTGTGTTTAGTAATTATATCACAGGCAGAAGGGAGGGTTTGTGTGCCTTGGCTGGGAGTGTCTGAGTGTACTGTTCTGTTTTGATTGACTATTGTAACTGCATGTCCTGTATTCCACAAGGTCCACGTGGGTGGTAACCTTGTGGGAAAACTTGTATAAAAGAAAGTCCTTTGGTGCTCATTAAACAAATCATCTTGTACATTCATGAAGTTTTGGCTCATGTTTGGGGGATTGGAGAATTGCCTATACTCTGGGGATTGCTATATCACAATACTCCCCAGAGTAAGGTCTTGTAAGAGCTTGTTCTTGTTCCTGGTTCCTGCTCTCTGGACTTAGGAGAGGTTCACCCACTGGAAGCTGGAGCCCGGTCTTGGGTCCAGGGTGGGTGGAGGACTGCTAAGCCATCCATTAAGATGCCATCTTGTCCTATGTCAGGGAATTTCCCATGACATGTGCACCCTTACGTTTCCATGTAAAATTACCAAGTTATGGCCTTGTATCTTTGCCAAGTTAAGGTAGGTCCTAAAATAATAAATAAGAACTTTTACTTTTTCATATATGAACTATGGTAACCCTAAAATGAAAAAGGTATAAATATGGGTACCTTTAAATGTTAACGGACAGAGGAGAGATTTGGAGACAGAGACAATGCTTCATATTATAATGACTGAGATATATAATTTAAACTTATAAACTTTGCTATATATTACTGTAATGGATTTTATATGTCTATATTTATATTTTTATTTAATAAAATATCTAAAAATAAACAAAAAAAAACCTTCCAATCCTTATTTTAAATT